TCTCTCTCTTCCCCTCAGCAGTGTATTTCAGTCAATCTGCCTGTTCTGCTCCCCACTCTGTCTCTGGTGAAAACTTTCGCTGCTCCTGCACCTTTGGCCTGTACCCCAGCTCTGTATGCATAAAAAAAATCTTTAAAAAAAAAAAAAAAAGACTGTGCATCTGGTCCAGTCATATGCCAAAGAGGACATCTTTTTCAACCCACTAGTAGCCCACTACCTGGCTCCTTGACTCCCCCCCAAACCACACCCTCTCTCTTCACCTCAAAAACCGAAGTTTGATTATCAATAGACCAAAATCTTCTTGAAGGAAGATTCTTGCTTCATGTCACTCATGTTTTAAAATTCAGTCGCAAGTGCTGAATGAAATCAGTTCAAACCCAGTGTCTCGGATGCACCGGTCAGACAGAACCCCCCGTGCTCCCCACCACAGTATTCCTCCAGCACCTGAAGAGATGGAGGCCGCTGACAGACATGACGAGGAGTGCAGCTGAATGGAGGGACATACGTAGGGACGCAGGACGCCCAGGTCGGAGGTGGAGTGAAGGGTCGGCCTGTAGACCCGGCACCCAGCGCTCCCAGTCGTCTTTAGTAGTTCTTGGGCAAGTGCGCAAATGTTTTCTCCCTCGGAATCCCCACCGCAGTGTTGACCTTGTGAACCGACTTTACCTTCCCTTTCTTCATCACCAACACAGGCTCCTGCCTCAGCCCTTGAACGTCCTGATCTTGTGGTCAGGCAGTAAGGAATCCTAGCGAAAAGCTTCCCTCCCTGGGGAGCAGGTCTCCACCTGCCTGTCTCTGGTCTACTTCGGGGACTGAAAGCACAAGATACCTTTGAGTTCTAAATTATTTCCTAAAGCACCTGGTCTGGCTAATATTATGTCTTTCATTGTGGGGAGGACACACCTTCCCTTTGGGTAACCTTTGAGATGCATGCAGAAGACCTTGTCACCTTCTGTCCCCGGCCTGCCTAACTTATTCCCCAGACACCTGCTACTTTTAGCTCCCTTTTCCCTTTTTTTGCTGCTGTTTGTTTTTAAGACAGTCACCCATCAGCACAGGAGCCGAGACGGGCTGAATCTTAATGAGCCTGTCATACTTCAGTTAAAAAAAAGTCCTGCTGACAGCTGGATGTGGGGTGAATGACAGCTCCCTGCACCAAGCAGATGATGAATGGGCAGAACAGTCCGGGACGAGCCCAGCTCCGTGTAAGGAGGTGGGAGCTGCTGCCCTTTACCCCACCCAAACAGTTCTGGGCACAAGGCGCCACGCTTCCATCTGCTTGGTCGTCCGCAGCCTCTATGGCTCAGCGGCTCCGTGGAGACGGAATTAAGTTGTAAATGGCTCCGGTAAGAAGGGAGGGCACGGAATGGGAGATGGCGGACAGCTCTTCCCTAACCTTGCAGTGGGCTCTGTGCCAGCAGACAGGAACAGAAGAATAAAAAGAGGAAGGGGCAAGCTGACCGGCTCTTTGAAGGGGAATGCCCACCTTACAACATGAGTCCTGCCTGGCGAAAGTGGCTGAATCCGAGTCAGATCTAAATTCCTTGGAGACACCCCCCCAACAAAGGAGCCTCATGGAGGGCTCTGGAGTGGGGTTCTCACTCTCAGTGGACAGAGGGGAGCCCAAGGCTCAGACAGCTCAAGTAGCTTTTCCAAAGGCACAAGTTGGAAATGTCACAGGGTCAAGGCTGAAGGCTGACCTTCTGACTCAACGTTCATTCACGCTTTTTCCAGGGACTTTCAAAGGAAACCACAGCTACGAAGCTGACAGAAGAATGAAAATCATTATTTTTTCCTTACAGTGATGCAACACGCCAATCTTTCCCAACAGTGGAGAGAGAGGAGAAAAAATTGCTCAGGGGCTGATAATATTTGGAGAGAAAGGACACGCACTGGTTCTTCCTGACCAGAGGGCTTTGAGGCCTTCACAGACCCTAACCAAGCACATCGCCACCATTTTTAAAGCAAATGGCTTTCGTTCCCCATAGCATAAGTGGCAGACAAATGCAAGAGGGCACAGACTAAGATTCACTGGCTGCTTATTTTATGCAGGCACCAGAAAGGCTCCCAGCATGTTCATCTGCGAATCCTCGCATGTGGGAGGCTGTGATCCTATCATACAGGAACAGAGCGGGGGTTCAAGGAGGTGAAGCAACTTGGCCAGGCTTCATGGCCGAACTCAGATGCCCACCGATGGGCCTCAGTTTCCCCCACTCGGCTGAGGCTTTTCCACCAGCGCTTGCTGGAGACACTCCTTTGTGGAGGCTTAAGATGAGCTGGGATCGATGTCCCCGCCTCGATTTCCATGAGAATCTAAGTGTCTGGATGACTCACCCTCTGATGTGTGGCACCATCCCTGGTCTTAAAATAACAAATCCCCCTGATGAAAGCCAAAGCAGGGCTATGTCGCATAAATCCTTTTATAATGATCACTTGGTGTCACTGGCTTATTTAAATGGACACATCACTTCTACCGAGGCTCGTTCCATCTCCGCTGCCCTTTTAGCGGGAACAAGAAGGGAAGTGACTCACGGCCTTGGCATATCAAGTAGGAGCTGGAGGTGGCTGAGACACTGGTATGTGTCCTGACCTCACATTCTGAGGCAAATTGGGAGGGGTGGGAGGGAACATGTCATTTTCGTCATAATAAATTCTCTAGCATGCTACATTTTCCTTCTGCCTGCAAACTGAATTGATGGCCAGTAGTTTTTGTTTTACGCAGATAACCGTGACCCTGATGCCGTGGCCTCGAGACCCTGCTGTTTATCTCTGGGTGACATTTTCTAGGATTCTATTGTGGAAGACAGAGGTAACTATGCAGCAGGTGCTACCTCAGACTGTCCCTCTCCTCCTGGACAAGCAGGGGCGTCTGTGGCTTTGTGAAAATCTGGGGAGAGGGCCCTCCCTGATGGCACAGCGGGTTAAAGCACAGCACTAAGAAGCTTAAGCCACTTCCACCTGAGTTCGATTCCCGCCTGCACCGGAGGTGACCACATGGAACACAGACATCTCCTGACCCGCCCGCTGCTCCCCTCAGCAGTGTACTTCACTGATCTGCCTCTCCTGCTCCCCACTCTGTCCCTGGTGAATTCTCTCATCCTCCGCATGTCTGGCCTGTACCCCAGTTCTGTATGAATAAATAAATTAAAAAAAAAAATCTGGGAGAATGGATCAGGAGCCAAGGTATTAAAGACCATAGGGGATGACCACTGGAAAGGAGAGCCAAAGGAAAGGAGGCCTCTCGGGCCCACCTGAGTTCTCAGCGGGCCCAGCCTCAAAGGCATCTAGAAAACAGCTCCTGGAAGAGTGCTGGGCAGGGAAGGAGCGGCCCCTTTCACCAGAGCAGTTCTTGGAGCTTCTGTTCCAAGAACCTCCCAGAGGCTTTTAAAGGGCAGGTCCTGGGTCTTTCAAGGGAAGAAGGAGGAATTCTCCATTTTTCAAAGTATTGTCGAACCCAGACACTAAACGTCCCGCTAGAAGGTTAGTAGTTAACATCACAGGCACCTGGCTGATCAGAGTGCAGCTATAAGCTCGAGAGCTATAGTATTCATGTGCATAAAATAGAGATAAAAAGAGCATCTGCCTCTGGGCGTTGGCATCAGGATGCCACAAGGTGAACATCTAGAACGCACCTGGCAGAGAGCCTGGCCAGGCTGAGCTCCACGCAGAGACGCCGCCTTCCCCATGAAACACTTCCCAGCCACATTCAAAGGAACCTTGCTGGGTTGCTTCAGCCCTGTCTGGGACTCCTTAGCCCTCCCCAACATCCAGCAACTCCAGGATGAATGTCCAACACAGCGGGGGGCCATCCTGGGCTCAGCTCCGGGTCTGGGAGAGGCTGGAGACCTGGCAGGTATAACAGGAGTGCATCCCCGAGACAGCGGCCACCTGGACACTGGCAAATGTCAGCTGAGGAATACCCCCATTCAGAGGCTGGTCTTCAACTCGGGGCGCCTGGCTGCCATCACTGGCTCAGGCACTGACTCCCGGCTTCCTGGGCCCCACTGGAACTGCACCCCGGAGGCCTGACCTTTTATCCTTTTTGCGTCTGATGGCTCTAGAGCCTCATCCTTTCATAGTTGACATTCTGGCTCTTCTACTACAGACTGGCCTGAGCCTCTGGGCCAGCCTTTGCTTCTCGCTCTTGGGTGGCATCACCCCCCAAAATGCCCCCCCCCCCACAATCCAGCTGGTCCCAGGTCTTCTGGGCTGGAACCACCTCCTGGGCCTGAGCTCTGCCTTCTAGTCCTGACACAGAGCACAGGCCTGCAGTCTCTGAGAAGCAAAGAGAACAGAGGGGAAAGGTCCAGAGGCATTTCAAAAACAGACCCTGGCAGGACTGAGCCCAAGAAGGCTGCTCCGTGAGGTGGTGGGCATGCCTGGCCCTCTTGGCACAGGGCCTGGTATATGCAGGCATTCAAGAGCCAGCAGGTGAACAGAGTGTGAATGAAGCATTTAAGAATGCTGTGTTCTCGTGGGCACTTGGTGGGCGCCCGGACCCCACCCCTCAAAGGCAATGCAGTGATGTCACCTCCAAACAGAAACTTCCCAGGCCCGTCTGGGCTTTTCGCATCATTGGGGGCTGTTTCCAGATCAGTCCTGAGTGCCTGTCACAAGCATGGGTCCCCAGAGATGGCAACGGGCAGGGAGCCACGAAGCTCCATTTCTGTCGCATTAAGAAACTAAAGTGTTGGGATGCTGCCACCGCAGAGCCATCTCCAGCCTGTGGGGACGGAGCCAGGGATGTATTGGGCACAGCGATGCCCAGCACATGCAGCACTGGGGGCAGGTGGACAGCGCCACGGACCCCCAACTCCGACAGCTACCTGGCCCGCAGCTGTGGCTCCAAGAAGGAACTGCAATGTGCTCCGACCGACTGCCCACTGGGTTCGGGGAGCCAGACGGCCTCGTACCGAGCCTTGCCCAGGTCCCTCACACAGGAAGGCCCCTCCAGTCCACACGGCCCCTCCAGACCCTCTGCCCACCACCTCGGAGCTTACCTGTGTTGTAACCTCTTCCGAGGGCCGGCCACGGGCGGTGATTTTTCCACAGATTTCCAAGGTACCAGTCACTCTGGTTCTCTACCAGGCCCAGGACCTGCTGACCTGGAAAGAACAGAAAATGCAAAGTTCTGAAGAAACGCCGGGCCACGTGGCCCAGAGAGCCGTGAGCAGGAGAAAGCTACCAGCAACTCACTGTAACAGCGGCTTCCATTCTGGGAGCTTCCAGCAAGCACTTAACTTGGGTATTGTGTCAGTTGCTCACCTAGCTACGCAACTTGGGGGGGGGCGTGTTGACACCTCCAGCACGCCCCCCCGTAGCTGACCTCCCCCTCCTCTTCCCTGTTCCCTGCCCTACTCCCTCTGGTAACCTCCAAAACTTTTTGTTGTGTTTTGCCAGTTTGTCTTCCTTGGTTATTTCTATTCCACAAATAAGCGAATCTGCTCGGTGCAGGCCTTTCACTTTCTGACTTACTTCACTGAGCATTATCCCCTCCAGATCCATCCATTTTGCCCAAAAGGCATTATTTCGACCTTTTAAATTCCAGTTGGGTATATATTCCACAATTCCTTTGCCTGGCATCCGTTGCCGGGCATTTAGGTAGCTTCCGTGACTCAGTGATTGCAAAGGACACGCCAGGCACATAGGAGAGCCTGTCTCTTTGTATCTGATATTCTTTGGGTGAATACCTAGCGGCTGTATTTCTGGATCATATATGGTATTCCTTTTTTTAAATTTTTACAGTCTCTTCATACTGTTTTCCATAGAGGTTGTACCAAATTACAGTCCCCCTTGAGAAGCCACGTGGGCATTTTTATTGTTCTCATTTTGTAACAAAAAAAAAAAAAAAAGAAGGCTGTAAAGAGTAGCTAATTAACTTACCCAAGGTCACCCATTTAATCTGTGATAAAGTTGGAATCATGAGCTCTACTTTCTTCTCTTCCTCCTTCTCTCTCTCCCCTCCCATTCTTTATTTTTAGCTCTTCCAACACAAATTTATTAATGGACCTACGCCCTTCCAAATGTTCCCCTTGTCATATTTTCAAGTGTTCGTGGGCTCAGATTTCTCCCCATGTATTAATTCATTAGCTCTCTGGACATGAGAGTCCTATCATATCAGAGAGGAAGAAATGACTGTTGAGGAAATGAGAACCTGCAGAGAGGAACCACATACTCATGACACCTTCACTCTCGATTCACTTTCTCTTGGGTTACCATGTAACATGTCAGCATCCTACCAACAGAGAAGCAGGTGCTTCATTTGGACGCTGCCCCCATCTCTGGGGCTCCTCGGCACAGCAGGTGAGGAGGCATCTCTCCTGGCATGGGGACTGGGGCAGAAGTCAGTCTCTGAGCAAGGCACCAGCGCCAGCTGCCCTCCACGACACAACGATGTCACGCACATGCAGATTTTCTTTGGAATCATTACCAAGCCCACTTGGCAGGCCAGGAAACCGAGGCTCACATCGTATCATGATTGGCCAGCCAGGGTTGGAGTCGGAATTCTATAGTTGCCTGACACCAAGCTCTTTCCTGTGTCTCAATCCTGTTTCTTACTTTCACAACACACGCTTGAGGTAGGAATTGTAAATGCACATTCTACAGAAAGAGAAACTGGCTTAGAAAGTCTTGATAACTTGTGAAGGCCACACGACTACTAATCACTGTCTTCTGCAGCCTGATGTCTTCCAGAGCCCGAAGACTGCTGGCCAGTCTGAGAAATAAAGACCTTTCTGCCCAAATGAAAGCCCAGCAGCAGGATCCGGGAACACAGCAGTTCCCTGGACACCACACTGGGTGATATAGAACCTGCTCGGTGCGATGACAGTTCCCTGAAATGATGGTGTGTGGGTTTGGTGTAATTTATTTGATCAATTTATCGAGCTCCTATCTAAATCATCAGCCCAGCACAAATACATAAATTAGAGGCCTGGGGAAAATACTACTGCCCACTTTGTTATTGTATATGATCACACCCAAAACTTGTAGAATTTCTCAGAACAGATCACCAGTTCAGGAAGCCCCAGAATCAATTAATTCCACATGCAACAAGCTTGGGACTTCCACGCAAAGCAATTCCACCCGAAAACCACAGCATAGAGGAGGAGGCTGAGCCAGAGGCAGTGACCTCCGGAGCCCCACACCCAGCTGGCAAAGAGGAAAGAGGTGCAGGTTCATTATACAAATGACCCCAGGTCAGTGTTACAATTTCTTTTTGTATGATGCAGGGTTCCGTGGGTCAATTCTTTCATTGCCTTTAGGGGGTCATGTGAATTTCAGGTAAGGCATTTCTCAGCCACCTCAAAGTCCGAATCCTGTATTCTGCCATTCCACGCAATTATATTTCTGCTGCCATCTACTTCTTGAGATGAACTGTCCACTAGCCAGATTTCGTTTGTGCCGAATGTAAGTGTATTGGTGCTGTGTTCTTACTGCTGCGGTTTGCTCGTATAACTCTGGCTTGGTGGGGCTTGATCTTGCCGCTGGAACCCTTCTTTATAATGCTTCCAGGGCTATCTCTAGCAGGAAGCTACCTATGCATGTATGCCCAAGTCAGAGGATCATTTAACCTTCCCTCCTGCATTTGGTGGGAGACACCTGTGTTGAGGGCTTCGGGTAACTTTGCCATCAGCCGACACACATCTGTTAAGTGCAGTGTGTGGGGGGGGCTTCAGGCACCCCTCCCTGGGAAATGCCCGTTTCCCGCAGGAGTCCCAGGGTGAGGGCCGCTTTTCCCTAACACACAGTCGGTGCATGTACATGTCTGCTAAACAGATGACATCTCGGGGGAGGGGGCTATCACTCCCCAAAGGGACACCATTGTATTACTGCATAAGGGTCTTCACGTCTTGGATGTCGAAAAGCATTTCACCCTGTCCCCATTTTTTTTTAACATGAACAGATTCTCCCACTCCACTCTGGGGCGTCTTCTCACCTTTTTGGGAAACTTCAGAGATGGGCAGCAGCACCTGAAAGTGCCTTTTCTATCAGTTGCCATCCTGTAGGCTCACCAAGGTCCCTTCTGCAGGAAGGGCGTCCCATGCACAGCTACTCCAAGAATACCCTAAGAATACTGTCCCTAAGAATACCCCAATTCCCTTTCTCTCAGGTGGCATCCTGCTTCATTTCTTAGGCCAGTGGCACAAGGCCCTTTCTAAGGTTACAAAACACTTGCCTCAACATCCCTTTGATGTAAAGTTACAACAAAGCTGTAATTTTAATAGTCATTGGTTGAGGAAAAGCAACATGAGAAACAGCTATTCAGCTTTCATTTTGATTTCTTAGATGGCTTCATTAGCTGCTCTCTGAGTGATTAAAATAATAGATTTTGCAAGTGGGCTGCTAAAATCCTGACCAAGCACGTGGGGTATGTCCCCCAACCCCTGCTGAGAGGGAGCTCCATGTAACCCTGTAGCCAGAAGTGAAGACTACAGACCCGAGTCAGATGCCCTGTTTCCAGTTCCTGCCCTGACACTTTCTACCTGTGTCGCCTCGAGAAAACTGCTTCCTCTCCCTCTGCCTCAGTTATCTAACTCCTTCGCTGCTTGTGACTCCACGTGTTTGAATGACCTCATAGGTGTTCAGTGCTGAGAAGCGGGCTGACGCTTAGTAAGCACTGTGTCGCTGTTTGAGAACATCACTGTCCGAGCTCACCTGTCTGCTCCTGAAAGCAGGTGAGTCCATCCACGTGGTTCTCCTGGAGGTGCTCCAGGTCTTTCTAGAACTTTGGTTCTCTAAATGAGGGCTGTCTGTTTCAGAACCACCCAGACTTCTTGTTAAAGCCTCACTATGTTCTTGGCCTCAACCTAGAATGATCCTCACTGATGAAAATGTGCGTGTGTGCTGGCACAGTGATGACTGACGGAAAGGTGACAATGGAGCCACTTGAGTTATCAATACAGAGAGAGGCAGGGACAGAGAAAAGCCTGGCTCTGTGGAGATGCCCTTCCTAAATCAAAACTGATGCAGTCATCGTGGTAAGGGGGCTCAGAGAAGTGGCAGAGACCAAGAGGGAGGCAGAGGCAAGATGAGATGCTCTGGACTCCACGCCCGAGGTCCTGACACCTTCCCCAGGTGAGCTCTGAGGAGGGGCAACCCTCGCCCTTGCACAGGTTTCCAGGAATTCCCTGCACAGAGTCCCGCCCTCTGCACACCTAGTCTGCCCCTCTTTGCCAAGAGATCTGTTACCTTCCTGCTTTTTGCTCCAAATGGAATTGCATGCTTATGTCGCTAGACTGCAGATTCATCCCCAAATTTCATATTGCGGTTTGATGCATTTAACTGAAGTCTTGTGAGTGCAACCTCCCAGCTTCTCGGAAGCTGGCACTTTAAAGATCCTGAATTAAAAAAAAAAAAACAACTACTTCTCTGGCTTCTAGAAGGTGGGGTTTCCTGCCTGGCTGCCCCTTTCTCTCCTCCAGGGCACTGCCTGACTGGTGAGCCAGTGTCTCTTTCACTCTCTGCCCAGCCAGCCCACCACGGAGTGCCTCCTTCTCAGCTGGGAGTCTAGAGAGCAGGGCCCCACTCCAGAACAAGGGTGGGCAATTTCTTTCTCCCTTTTAAAAAAACTGTACTATTTTGATTGCGGTAACAATGATTGACACCACCGTAAATGATCTAGCGGGTAGGCTCACACGCCTTCCACGGAAGGTCACGGCCCCACCCCACCGCCACAGGCCCGGAGTCCACCATAGGCCACTGAGCAGATGGGCAATTTCAAATCTGGGTTCTAGTGCGAGACATCCCCACTGTCGACGCACATCTAAGTCAAGTCCTTCAACCGAGCTCTTTTGACTAAGGCATTCTGCTCTCATTTCTTTATCGCTAAGGTATCTGGGCAGGTGAGGTTAGAGTGTATACTAATCCCCTCACTACCCAACATTCCAAGTAAAGAGTGTTGGTCTTTGGATCTAGTACTCTGCAGTGAACAAGCAAAACAAAACAAAAAGCCAGGTAATTCAGGTGCGCATTCAAATCTGACGATGTGGTCAGGGCCTGTAGCTCTGTCCCTGTTCAGTCAGAGGGGAGATTCTGTGCTACTGGCACTCCGAGGGCATCTCAGTCTGCTCACGAACCAGCAGGATTTAGTGGGGGCTGACAACAC